CTTCAGTTTCCCAGTGAATCCTTTCCTTTCCTTTCCTTTTTTTTTTTTTTTTTTTTTTCCCTCCCTCGGTGAAAACCACCCTATCTGCATGGATACTGTTTTCAACAGTTGGTTATTAAATACAAACGTGTGCTGATTTGCTAAGTCATGGTACAAGCATTTGCTGGTTCTGTAAGCAGAAGCACTACTAACTTTTGGCTTTATATATATATATTTGTATATCTATCTCCTGCAACACCTTTCTCAGTGCTGCACCTGCCTTGGCCTTGAACACCTTCCTGAGCAGAAGCCAGCGCAGCGCTGTCACCGAGTCAAGTGATTTTGGGTGGTGCAGGGGAAGAACCAGCTCCAGGCAGTCCCAGTGGTGCTTTTGTACTCGCAGCACCTGTATGAGCCCAGCAGGATCGGGGCCTTTGTCCCAGAGCAGGCCTGCAAGCGTGATGGGTGGGAAGGTGCGATAAGGCACTGATGACTGCCACCTGTGCAGGGACAATATTTGCTTTGCGTTATTTAGATTGAGTACACATTTCTTCTGGATCACATAGTTTTATATGTAGCCAAATAAAGTGGCACATCATTCTCGTATACTTACTGTATATGGATGGATGGAAAATTGTAACTGTAAATTCCTCCTCTCAAAGCAAAACTTTTATTTTTACTTACCTTGAAAGCCTTCCATCTCACTTCATTTTTATTTTTTACACAGGGAAAGAAGCTGCACCAAAAATAATCCAGTACCCAGAGAACGTTTTTCCTTTTTTTTAATAAAATACTATCATGTTCATATCTATACAAATAATTATTACAGCTATTAAACAAAGTATTACATTTAACAATAGAAATCTCAGAACTCTGAACAAGGTCATGGTTTGGGATATTTACACCCAAATGCAACACATTTGTAAAAAGATGTCAAAATAAACAGAACCAGATCTTATTTACAATTGCAAGGTGATGTTCCTATTCATTCATTATATATTCTACTGCGGATTTCCTTTTTCCATTACAAAATAGTAAGGACATTCCAGTGGCGCTGTATCCAAGTAATTTACAGCTGTATAAAACAGGAGCACAGCAGAAAATTCTGGACTGAATATAAATAATTTACATTGTGGAGGGCAACAGCATCTTTGATTAATCTCCTGTGGCAAAATCCATCTTTGCTTTCCTTCTCACAGTGAGCAGGCAGGAACAGGGGTACAACCCACTGCTGTCTCGGCTGTTTCACATTTGTGATCACTGCAACTGCACAGCATATTGCAAACCTGGAACCTGCTTGTAAAAATTCAGTTAGGTTTCTTCTGAAATTACTGTACAAAAACTGGTATCAGCAACTAATAAATGGCTTTTGTGTAACTAAGTAAGGATTCTTAGCAGAGAGAAGACTTTTGTATCATTGTGACCAAATATTTCTGGTAAATCACTGCTTCACAGGATAATTTGCTCTCAGTGTAACAAGTGGGAATAAAGCGTTGGTCTTAGCTCTGCTCTGAGGACAGCAGAGGGAGGCAGCGTGAGGCTGAAGGCAGAGCTGCGTGCAAACCTGTGTCTGCATGGGCATGCCTGTCCTCACAGCTGCTGGCAGTGCTGGCAGTGGGGGAAAGGAAAATAAGAGGAAAGGAATGAATGAATGAAGTCCTTGAGCCAGGGCTGCACAAGTACCTCAGAACAAGGTGAAAAAGAGACCAGATCAGAAATAATGAAGGGATTTCTCTGGGAATGCCCTTTGCAGTCGCCCTGCCAAACGATTTGTTTCTGCAACAGCACTGGTGACCGACTGCAGCAGCAGCACAGCTTTAAAGTGCCGTATGCGAGCTGTGCAAACCCGTGGCGGCCCCAGCACAGCGAGTTTCTCTTCAGAGAGGTGCTCTGCCCCCGGGCAGCAGTGCTGTGGCTGCAGGAGCTACCAGACACACTCCGGTACGGCTCACACACACACTCAAGTCATTTCCACGTTTCCTTAGCTGCACTTAAATGAGCTCCTCTCTCTCAATCAGACTTACAGCAGTGTTAATACGTTACTGGTTTATTGCCTGCTTTCAGCTTAATCTGATCCTGCTCGTATTCACCCAGGTTTCTTAAGGGATTAATCAAGGATTACATGAAAATACCCGCAACTCAGCCCTCTGCCCGTTTGCTATTTTTGTTGAACTCGTTTAGGACAAGCTGAAACCACAACGCCTGTCCACTGTGGCAGTCCCACCCTGGAGGTAGTTCTGAACATTTCCCTTTCGCTACTATTTTGTTAAATTAACCGATACGGAGTATTCTTCCTCTCTTCAAATACAAAGCAAACCCCCACTTAGAGTAAGCAGCCTTCAGAAAGATCCAGCGGAACCGTTCTGGAAGAGACAATTCCACTCTCAGAACAATAAATTACAATTAAAACCACGAAATCTTTTCCAAATATATTTTTAAAAACAAGAGAACTTTAAAATACCAAGTCATTCTTCTTGGCATGATGAAAGTTTGCTGAATAAAATGCATTTGCCTATAGAATTCCTATGACAACAAGTAGAGCAATTATTTCATCAGCAAAACTTACAGAAGCTCCTTTTTCACATGCTTTTTTCCCCAAAAAAGGGCATGGTCTGAGGTAAGGTAAGCCTTCCTTAAAATTTCATCCACCTGATACCTAAAAACAGTTTCAATGTTAGGGGAAGGGGAAAAAGAAAAATATTCTTTCAGCTCAACAGTGAAGACGCTCCACTCGCTCCTCATGCTGAGAGCAAAGCCCTCGGAAAGGGCCAGCGCTCAGACAGCTGAAGCACCAACGTGCCAAAGTCCTGAACTACGGAAAAAACTCAAGAAGCTGAGTTGTGGCCTGGTCCATGTGGAAAGGCGGGGATAATTAGTTTACAGTGACGAGGAAAACCAAAGCAATTCCATAATTAAAAGCTAACAAAAGTACCTAACATCTCGTTTCTTCTCCTTTGATGCAAAGTATCCAGCCCATCAAACGTCCTCCTACAGGCAGGCGAGCACCAATGTGAGCTCCATGGCAAGCCCACATGTCACTCTCAAAGCAGGGCACCCGGCCAGACTGCGCAAAAACCAGCCCCAGCTGCCAATTAGCCCAAACCACCACACATCAGAGCCAATTTCTCTTGAATTAAATTGATTTAAATGCCAGTCAACAGTGAAAATAATAGAATCTGGGGGGGGGGGGAAAAGAATAGACAACACAAGGTACAATCCTCTAGAGAAGAATGAAGGTGATGCAGTGATTAGTTTTGAGCCACACACCAGCAAACTGTGCAGTTGCTGCAAAATCACAGAATCACACAGAATCACAGAATTTCTAGGTTGGAAGAGACCTCAAGATCATCGAGTCCAACCTCTGACCTAACGCTAACAGTCCCCACTAAACCATATCCCTAAGCTCTACATCTAAATGTCTTTTAAAGGCCTCCAGGGATGGTGACTCCACCACCTCCCTGGGCAGCCTGTTCCAATGTCTAACAACCCTTTTGGTAAAGAAGTTCTTCCTAACATCCAACCTAAAACTCCCCTCGCTACAGCCTCCTTTAAGGTATCAGGCCTTACACCGAGATCCCTCCGTGGTAATGGCCTGCACTACAGATATCCTGGGAATAAGATTGCTTTTTTGGTCATCTTTGGAAACAGAAAAGGGACACACGAATGTTACTGATACAGTTACTGCCTGTTCAGAAAACAATGTACACCTTAAAAAAACAAACAAAAAACGCTAAAAACCAACACAAACAGTATGTTCTACACTGAATACTCATGATTGCATTAAACCTTGATACAAGACCAGTGAAATTAATAGTGAAATCAACATGAAGGAACAAAGATATCCAGGCAAGCTTACAGGCTCTCTCCAGTTTGGAAAGACATCACGGGGCAGTGGAGCTTCCCCAGCAGAGGACACTGATGTAGTACAACGTGAGTGATGAGCAGGATTAACATCTTTAAGTAAAGTCCCTAAACCAGGGCTTAGCTTCTCACTACTTTGTCTTGAAAGCCAAATACGCTTACTCATAACAAATGCCACTTCATGAGAGTAAGAATGGCTCAGACCAAACACAGACCTGCAGTTTGCCCGCTCAGCTCTGAGGACTGGCAGTCATTCCTGAGGCTACGGCTCTGCATGGAGCACACGCTGCTGGTCTGCGGCAAGTGCAGAAAAGCAGGCGTGCTCTGAAGTAAAATAAAGGTTCCATCAGTTAGCTCTAATAAACACAAAAATAGTGAAGCACCACTTACGTTTAGTGTCCTAAAGATATTCCTCATCTGAATTAAAAGGTGATCCCCAATTTGAAGCAGAACCGTTTCACTTAGCTTTGCTGGAAAACATCATACCCCAGGTTATAAGAAAGGAGACATCACCAGGATGGACTGCAGTCTGTTTTGCCCAATTCTTTTTTATGCTAAAGTCTCTCAGCCGGGTGTGGGTAGATTGCATATGAGGAAACCTGAAGTTACCATGCTACTTGAAGAATATAGTCGGAAATGGTATTTCCACACACTTAAAAGACGTATTTCTGCCTTAAAAAAAATAATCACACTGTAGAGCCATTAAATAAATAAACCTTACCTAGTTTTTCCCTTTCCATTCAATGAAATAGGATCAAAATCTGTGGAAGTATACCGGAGACTTGGCTAGCACACACACATTCGCTGCATCCCTCATGCACGCACAAACACATCCCCCCTTCCTCACAATGCTCAAACCACGTCTTCCTGGTATGCAATATTTCAATCTTGACACGTTATTGAAGGTGTTCTTCCTTCACCCACAGTCATACGGGTTTAGACAAAAGGTGCATTCAAGTGCAAAGTACTGATATTAAATTAGGCCCCGACGCTGTCGGCAATGTTAAGGAGCTGCTGTGCCCACGAGGATCCCCATTAATTTTGTGGGGTGCCGTGGGCACAGTGCTCCTCCCATGTGCTGTCCAATGCAACAGAGGGCTGACACTCCTAGAAACCAGAAAGCTGGTGTTTGAGCATGGGCCAAAAGAGGAGAAGGGGAAAAAAAAAAAAAAGACATTAAGAAGGTGCTAAACAAGGTTCAAGAAACACCCTGAGGTAACTTGCAGCATATGAACAATGAAATGGCAACAAAGAGGGCTGCTGTCTCTGCTGACCACCCCAGCAGGGGTAGTAAGCTACACTAAAATGTTGACCAAGTTCAGCAGTAACAGATGCCATTGCTAAAACGGATCCAAATAAATTTTGTCTTAGAAACAGAAAGCCATGCTTTAAAGAAATCTCAATTTTCTAAACCAGTATTTTTAATGCTGACCATAGAGACACAGTAATTTTTGCCAGGTAAAGTCAGCCTTAAATCACGTGTATGTGACAAGCTTCAAGAGACAAAAGCTGCACAATGAATGGCTTTATCAAATAATGCTGGATTAACACAGACTTGACTTGTTATGAGGCTCCTGAAAATATTTTACAAAGGAAGAAGAGAAACCCATGCCACTTCAAGTTCGTCTTTAGTTTTAGGTAAACACATCACAATTAAAATGAAATCTGTAGCATTTTTTCCTATCTCTCGTTCGGATGTTCTCACTTCTTTCTTTACATCCAAGTACTACTGAGGGTGGTGATTATCCCGGGACAATCAGCCATCAGACTCGACTGTTGTAAAATCAACAATCGATATTTGCACAGCTCTAAATGTTGCATTCTTACCGTTTTCTTGTAAGTAAGCATTGCTATAGGCACTGGTGCTTTAAAGTTAGTAAGGTGGGTGGAAATACAGTGTGTATATAAATACAAAACGTACCCATATACATACATTTAGGCAAATAAACAGTGATGCTATGAATGGGCTCTTCAGGGATGCCAGTAAGATCCATTTTGTTTTCCTTAAATATATAAACAACGCATCAGACTAAAAGTCAGTCGATCAGTCTTCATACAGCTGAACTGCAATCGTGACCTAGAATATGGCTTATATTGTGGGCAGGTCGGTTTGAGGACTGCTTGGAAGAATCTGAAGCAGATGTGTTTGCAATGGAAAGCAAAGGCGACATTGCTGAACCATCTGGAGGAAGAGCTGTGGCTATTTCTGGGAACAAAGACGTCAAGTTAAAATTGGATAAGTGTGATGTGTTGGTCATGTGCATCGGCGGCATGTCCGGAAGCAAAGGAAAACTCGGCTGAGCAAAACCAACAGGCCGGGGAGGGGACAAAATGGATCCAAACCGATTGTTCAAACCTCCGCTGCTTGGCTTTTCTGTGCTTGGATTAGGGAACATTTGATTGGGGAAGTAAGGGATAGAAATGTCATTGGAAAGAGTGGGATGGGCGGGGGAGTATGGCGGGTAGAAGGACGGCAGCGTGTTTTGAGGATCGACCGGGATTAGGGCTGGTGTCCGAGTGGCACTAGGCTGGGTAACGGGTGGGATGAAAGACGCGTTGGCGTTTATTGGCGGGTTCATGCCACCCTCTGGAATAAAAGGGAAGCCAAAGTTCTGGGAGAGCGTGTGTTGGTCGGGGGCTGCGTTATCGTTAGACACCTGGGGGCCATCCGACATAAAGCGGACGATGCTCCCTCTTTTTTCTATCGCAGACTGCTGGCGCCCGAGGATCATACTGCCACTGGTAGACAGGGGAAGATGGGGAAGACTAGGGTCAAAGACATTCCCGTGTCTTTGATTTCCCGATCGGTTCCTTTCGGGCTGACGTATTTTAGATCCTCCGTTATCTTGCAGAGGATGCCTGGATCGTTGAGTAACTGAAGAATTTGGCTGACGAACAGATGGTTGCCCTTGTTCACCATTTCCATGAGAAACTGCAGGGTGAGGGTGAGTGGGCCTCACGACTCCATGCATGTTGCTAGAAACTGGCGTATTCATGTGACTCTTCGTCCCATGGCTCTCGGTCATCCTCATGGGATTGGACTTCTGTACGGAAATGTTTGGGCTTGTATTTCGACCCTGAATGTCTCCCGAGGAAGAAGAACTCGAGAAAGGAATATTTAAAGAACTGTTCCTCGTGTTAATTGAACCAATAGACATGTCACAGCTTTCCCTGGTCTGACCGTCACCATCCCTTCGGATGTGGACGCTCTCTCGCGCCGGGGGGCAGTTGTACTCAATCGTGGAGGATGCGCCGCACTGCGTATTCCTCTGATGCTCTGGGAGGGATCTTTGGCTTCCGCTAACTTGGTCTCCGAGGTGAGGGGCGAGTAAACTCTGCATAAAACTTTGGTGGCATGTGTTTTCATTCTCCCTTGATGGAAGGGTATTTCCTGTTGGAATACCCTGCACTGGCGGGTAAGGCAACCTCTTCTGTCTTTCAATGGACGGCCCGGTATTTTGACCAATTCGGAAAGCTTGCGACTGCATGCCCCTGAGGGATGGCACAGAATTACCAATTTCGCTGTTCCTTGAGGCTTGTACGTCAAAATTGCCTGTTGGCTGTTGATTGGGTCCTGCTGGCTTAAAGGTCTGACAATCAGACAGCCGTTGCACGTCTGAGCCAACCGTATGATCGACAGATATACGGCCCTGCATATTATGAATGACCAACCCTTTATTCCTAGAAACATCGAGATAGCTTCTCATTTCGAGCTGGTCAGGAACTCTAGGGCCTTGAAGAGAGATTCCTATTCTCTGCTCTGAATTAGAGGGTGTCTTCCCAATGAGTGCTTCAGCAGAGTAGCTGGAGACCCTGTTTCTCTCCTGCCTGTGAGGAGTGCAAGTCATATCCGATGGCCTGGTTACGATACTTGCCTGGGACACCATTTGCTGCTCTAAGCCCCTTGAGGTCATAAGCCTCTGCATCTGATTATGCCCTGATACGTGTTCAGAAGCTGAACCTTGCTGTCTGCTGCTAACATCTTGTTGCTGCTGATGCATAATTTCCTGGTTTATATGGCTCTGAGGGTGGCTGTGATGGTTTCTGCTTGTTGCGGGGTTTTCACAGTTCTTTTCAGGCTGGGAAGCTCCAAAGTGCTGCTGCATCTGCTGCTGCATTTGCTGGTGGTGAGGATGAGGCTGACCACCTTTTTGCCGCGTCTGATCACTTCCATGGTGTTTCTGCTGTAGAGAAAGTTGCGTGGCTTGGCTTCCCTGGATAAGATTTCGTTTCTTTTGCATTTGCACCTCCTGCTGTATTGTTCGCTGCTGGTGGACACCATGGGGTTGAGAGTGGACTGAGTTTTCCCCGTGAGTGACATGGTGCTGCAGCTGGTACAAGTGGTGCCTTTCTCTTAACTGCCCAGCCTGCTGCTGTTTTAAGTAGGGATGATTACTGTGGAGATGAGATATGCCTTGAGAAGGTCCATGCTGAATCGGCTGCAAGTGCTGCCCTGCTTGACCTTGCTGTTCTGAAATCGATGTTTGAGAGTTGCACTGAACTTCAGTTTGTCGCAAAGCTGGCGTTACGAAGTTGCTGTTTGATGGGAATAACCTGCTAAGGCCATCCGTGTGCCCTTGATTGCTCACTGATGGCACTGAATTTGATGAGTTAGGAGGAATCTGACTGACCAGCATCTGCGTTTGATCAGCAATGCTCTCTGGTGTTCGGTTCATCAGCGCCATCCCTTCGAGCCTCAGAGGTGCTGTCTGGCACTGCTTTTGCCTCTTTGCTGTGGAGAGCAGAAGGTCGTCTTGCACAGCCCGCTTGGCAGAGTCTTTGCGACCTTCGTGGCCTTGCTGCTTTAAGTGTGATTCCTGCAGCTGGGGGGCCTGCATGGTGTTTGCCCTGATAGCATTCAGTTGCTCCTGAGCATATTCATTCATCATAGCTGGTCCCGGAGACTGGTTGACATACGAACTAGATGGGAGGGAGAGGCTCACCGTTGCAGGAACACTTGGCGGCTCTGAAGGCTGGGATAAACTTGGGCAACTCACAAGGGGATGGACAATGCGGCTCTGGTGTATTAGATTATTCACGCTTAAACTGGTTATGCTTGGTGACTGGGAGGCTGAAATCTGCAAAGAAGTGTTTGAGGTCTCCACACCTCCTACAGAACAGCTTGGTTTTTCAACTTGTCTATCAACATTTGCTTGCACCGTATCCTGAGCACTGAATTTGTTGGATGGTGTTTCTAATGGCCCTGCATTGCTTTCTTTCGCTGGTAAAGGTTTGAAAGTCGGTTGCTCTCTCTCCAAAGACGCAACCTCAGTTGACTTAGAGATGGCATCCCTCATGTTAACTTGCATTCCTCCTCCACCTTTCTCAAGGTTTTCTTGATCAAAAATAGCTCTTGCTGCAAGAGCTACGATGTCGGGTTGTTCTGAAAACGTGCAGTTGTTACACGTACTGGTTGATGTGCTGCTCGTAACATCTTCCCTGGTGGTATCTGGCAACATCGATGCCACTGAGAAGCCTCGACTGCTACCAGAGCTGGTGGACATTGGGGAGTCTGCCTGCCTGCTGGCAATGAGGGAAGCACTAACTACTTCCTGATCAGAAATGCAGCTGTGATGCTGGGAGAGAGAATCTCCCTCCGAGTTCATTAACAGAAGTTCCTGCTTCTCAGGCAAATCAACATTTGATTCTGATGATTTCGAGTTTTCCATGGGAAAATTAGAATGCTCCCCCTGAACGGTAAAAGAAGAGTTTTTTTCCTCAGCTGTTCTGTCTTTTGTGAGATCTGACAGCATTTTGGTTAGACCCTGCCCCTCTAACAAGTCCGCATCTTGCATGATGATTGAAGAATCCTGCGCAACACTGCAGGACTCCGAAATTGCTCCTGCCTTGGAAGTGTGATCTGCTGTGCTGCTCTGTGCTGCTGCCATCCCGGCAACCTGAGGATTTGTCACATGTGCTTCAGTACGAGAGGTCGTTAAGGTGCCAGGGGGTTCGCGGGGTGCAGAAGCCTCTGACAAGGCAGAAGCAGCGGGTGGATTGCTCTGAGACCGACACACCTGCGGGAGAGGAGCAGCATCTTTGGCAGCCGGCGGGTCCGGCACCAACGGTTCAGACACCGTGGGCTGCAGGGGTGAGGATGCAGGCAGCTCTGGCACAGGGCAGGATCCTGCCGCCTGCTCAGAGCGCTCAGGCTCTTTGGAATGACACTCAGCAACGCTTGGTGCTGCCACACCACTCGCCTGCGACGTAGCTAAAGATTGCGATGCTGCCGGAACGGTTTCAGGCAGCCCCTCACTGTTTGCAAGCTTTGGTGCAGTTTCCGCAGGAGCACAATCTACCTTCCCCACATCTTTGCAAGGAATTGCTGGGCAGGACACTTTACTGTTGGCTGCCACGGGTTTTTTAGTACTTGGCTTTTTGTTTGTCCTTTTTGATTTCGTATTAGCTGGCAAGCCAGCAGCAGCTTTTTTGGGGGAAGTGTTTATTGAATTAGATGCACTAGCTAAGACTGAACCCTCTGCAGATATTGCAGATGCCACCGAAGTCGGTAACGACACGCAGTTAACCGTGGCGATCTGGTTATGGACAGTTGTGGGATTGGCAGGGTGGCTGAGAGACAAGTGTAAGCAGCTTTGTCCAGCCATTTGTGATATGCTTTGATTGAGGTTAGCTAAAGCACCAAACGTATTGAGGGCAACGTTGGTATTTGGATCTTCGCTGGTGGTGGGTTGAATAATTTGCATAGGGGCTTGGTTCGCAGCTCCAGATGAAGACATCACGGGCTGCAATGCAAAAAGCTGCCCGTTCAGTGAGATAGTTTGAGGATGCTGCTGATTTGACATCGTAACTGAAAATGTTTGTGTAGAGCTAGAAGATGGCAAAGAGGATGGTCTTGGTAATATATGGACAAGGTGTTTCCCCCCAAAAGTCTGTGGAAGAGGGGCGTTTTGTACGGAGTTGCTAGAGTTTGCGATCGCAGTAGGCCCATTCATGGGAACTCTTACAGAAGCAGAAGGCTGGGCAGAGAGGAGAGGAAGCGGATTCTGACTAGCAGCTTGTATAATTACAATTTGTTGACTCACATTTTGGCTAGGGACTTCTGCTCTCACGATTGGAGGGCACGGCGTGGTGTTTGGAGGCTGGAGAATTATGACATTCTGGTTGGCTGGTGCTCCTGTTACGGCTGACGCAACTGGCTGCGCCATCTGAATCACCTGCATAGCTGAATTCAGTGGAAGGATATTTCCTGCAGCCTGAGTTTTAACCTGTGGCTGGCTGATTAATGGCTGCATAGGTAAGGACGGACATGAGGGCAAGGTAACTACGATTTGTTCAGCTGCCTGCACATCTCCAGGCAGAGAAGTACTTAGACTAATGCTTGTAGTCAAAGGCCTGCTGTGAGCAGGAGATACAGTACCAGTGCTGTTACCGGGCTCATTCAGGAGCGCAGTCATCACGCTGGATGGTGTTTGGCTTAGTGGCTGAACAGTATTGCCTGCTAGCTGCAAAGTTGTCCACGTGGTCTGTGTGTTTCCAGCTGAAGGCATGCGTGTAAGGCTACTCATGTTTTTCAAGTCTGAAGTGCCAACGCCTGTAGAGCCTGAAAAAGACCAGCAGTTCTCTAGGGGACTGGCAGGCAGAGTGCTTATTGCCGTTACGGCCTTAATTCCTTCTGCTGCAGAAGTCATGGGCATTGCAGCACTACTTACCAAGTCTGTACTTTTGAGGACATTTACAGAGGAAAAGCTATCTGTACTAGACAGTCTCACAGACGGCACGCAAGCTGTGTCACTGGTTGAAATTACACAGCCTTCTTGAAATTCATTCCTAGAACTGGGTGTTTTTGAGCAGGTTGCATTCACCTGTTGAACTTGAGAGGCTTCCGTGGAGGCACTGGAAGGAAGGCTGATTCCCTGCAGGAGTGTTTTCTTCATTAATTTCGGGCACGCCTCATCGTTTTTACTTTTGGAGAGATTTTGATCATTCTGTGATGTATTACTTAGAGAACGCTGTAGTTCCTGTTCTGTTCCAGATTGAGAAGTGCTCTGTGAGGTGGCTGTAACAAGCACACCTTGCTCATTCTCTAGGGTGGAAAGTTCAAGAACGTTCCCTGCTGGGACTGGCTGAGCGGGTGCCAGTGGAGAAACCGTACTCTGAGACCGTGGCTTGTTTTCTGCAGGGTAAATACCAGAAATTGTCACAGGAGTCACTAAATTGCAAGTTCTCTGAACTGGCACAACATTGGCTGTTTGCTTTTGTAAATTATGACTAACGTTAAACGTTATTCCCTGGACAGATGCTCCCTGGTTATTTCCATTGGGTTGACTCCCATTTGAATAGACGATGATGTTCTTTTGAACTTGATCACCAGGAATAACAACCGAAACCTTTGCATTTTTGAGATTCCCCTTCCAGTGGATTGTAGGGTCATCATACAGGCAAATATCATTTGCTTTCAGTAGTTCAATATATCTCCCGTTCTCCTTCTGAAGTTCATCCAATTGTTTCCGGAGTTTTTTTATCTCTTCAGCTACAAAACAGTGAGAGCAATCCGTTACTTCAGCATCTGTGCAAATACCAGGTAATGCTACCACGTGATTTGGAGAGTAAGTTCTATGCAATATTGAAATAAATTACTAACAATATATGGATAATAACTTCAAATAGTTAAAATAATGTAAATTAAGAGTATCCTGGTAAACCCTTCAATTGATCAGGAAAGTAATGAAACCCACTGAATACTCCACTACCAATAGTTAAATATATTAATTAGTTTAAAAAAACAAAACAAAACAAAACAAAAACAGATGAAACTGAACACTAATCATTTAATTACCACTTGAAAAACAAACATGGTGAGCTATCTTGTTTTTTTTTCCTGATCCTTTGCAGGCACTAAAATCAGTTTCATTGAATCGGTAATCTCATGACCTTCCAGGACACTAAGTTTCATTATATATGAAAATGATATGCAAAACTAAATACAATGCACTTATGTAAAGCCACAAAAAACAGCACCTGGAGTCAGCTCACCTATCTAGGAAAATCAACTATGCTTGTCAAATGCAATTACATCAACAAGATGAACAATTTAATAGAATTCTATTCTATGTGGAGAAATAAAAACTACAAACCACAACATTAGCTCTGAGATTATTTCTGTCATATCTCCGTCACTGTATTTTTATGCATCTGTTAAATAAGAATTTATATGATGTATTATATTTTTATAGATTGTTACTACTTTCAAAGTATTTGGAAGGAGAAAAAAAGAATATGCTTGAAGGAAACCCCATTTTTCCAACAAAAAAAATCTAGCAGTGTCAGAAATTGGTCTGCATGTTACAGTAGAATACATGGGGATGGAATCTGCTAGATGATACTGTATTACCTGTGAGATCTTTACTTTACATCACAATACAATTGCTTTATATCTCATAGCTATGTACAACAACATGCACTTGGACTTTTCTTCACTTCTTGTTTCAAGTTATTCTAAGTGGATGTATTTTCCCTGCATGCATGTCTTGGGATTCATTAAGTCTGTTGAGTCCCTGGCTTTGTTGTCAGCCAATACTAACAGACACACATTGGAAACAAGTGACAGAAATTGTAAAGCATCCTGTGAAAACTTTATTTACCCTGTTCGTTGTTCCCTCCATTTAACAGAAGTTCATCATTCTGTCTTTTCATTTCTGTTATATACTTAAAGGCTTGGTCCAGGATCATGTTCTTGCTCTTTAAAAGAAAAAACAAAGAAAAAATTAGGAGAAATCTCATCATTATTGGATCTACCAATAACAGATCTTGCATTTATTCATTTATTCCAACAGTCTTCATTTAAAAAAAAAAAAAAGAGTGATTCTCTGAACATTTTTTTTTGTTCTTTGTTTATTAAAAGATGAACCAGAAATTTCATGGGTGATACTGACCTTAAAACGCTCTGAGTTTTTAAAGAACTAAATGTTTCATAACGGAGCAGAAATTTTCTGATGCGAAAACATAAATACTAAGCCACAGAATCCAAGTAGCAAGCATCATTATTGTTCACTAATAAACATATACACGACTCAAAATTTCCAGGACACAGCTTCATACATACTTTATTAGAAAAGAAGCAATCACAGAACAATTACCCAGGGAAGCATTTCCATAATTTTGAAACTAATATACTGGATACTATGGGATGAATAAACATACCATAACCCTTCCACCATCTTCTTTTTGTAAGATAATGTTTATTTTGCCTGCTAAACTTCTCATTCATTTTTCTGTTTCTTTCTTGTTCTGCTGTTCTTTGGTAATAGTCTCTGCTGTAGATTGTTGTGTCTGGGAAAAGATGCTTCTGTGCATCAGCCTTTATCATTGTGTCTTTTCATCTCTCACAAGGACACTGTCTTACCTCACTATTAGCATCCAACTTTCAGAATTGCTTTCATCTCATTATACCAAAGACTACAGAAAGAAACGTACATGCAATTCAATTTATATCTTGGGCCATTAAGCGATCACCAGCAAAGGGCAGAGGAGGGATTGGAGAATGACCTGAAAACTGATTTTGCTTAACCCATAGCTTTCACCAGTTGAGCACTGCAAAGACCACATTAAGCAGTAGAAAACAACATGGCAAACAGGAGCTGCACAATCTAACCACCAACCCACTGGCCAGACCCAACCTACTTCTGTCCATCCTGTCACCCTTTCATCAGAGGAGAGGGTGAGCAGCTATTTGGTCAACACAGGAAAGGAAGCAGCTGAGATAGGTTTTTTATCTTCTGTTGTTAGTAATGTTCAGGCGCTCTTAATGAGAACTTTGGGAAGCTGTGGATCAGACAGACAGGCAGACATCGGCAGGATGACTAGATGGCTACAGGGAAATGAGTCTGTCTCATGCCTTCTCAAAAATACCGCAAATGTGAATCAAAGAGAAAGTTGGTCAGTCACATGTCCAACTCATTCCTTCAACAGTTATGTGCAACACCTTCAGATATGAAGCTCAAAATCTGTACAACTGCATTAATGTGGCCCTGTACTTCCAAAAAGGAAGTCTATTACATATCCTTTTTTTTGTTGTTATTTTTTTTTAATACTACAAAGAACTAATAAGATTTCAAGCACGTTAATTCAGACAGGTCTGTGATCTTTGTGGGACAAATAGCGAAATAAGTATTTATACTTCTATGGACAAGGAAACACACAAGCATTTTACAGGAAACTTCTATGTACCTCTGAATGAACACTTACCTGCTTGAGTGCTGGAGAGCAGGGAATGAGTTCTCCAATTCTGTTTATCCCTGCATTAATCTTCTTTTTTCGATGTCTCTCCACTAAGTAAAGATAATACACACTTTGTCATCTAGTTGGACAAGTCAACAGCAGGACAACTAACACCAATGTAAGGGCTCATAAATATATTATTTCCTGAGCTATTGGGACCTTAATAATATGGTAGGGTAAAAAATCCTCTAAAGTAAAGCTCAGTTATTGAATTAGAATTCAATGACACTAAGAGCTGTAATGTAAGAAGCAGTATCTTTAAAAGGTGGGGATGTTCAGGAGCCCTTTGTGGAAAAAGCAAAGCTATTGCAACTCATAATTCAGGTTTTGATAATGCTTTTTAGCTGATTTCTATTAAAACCTTTTCACAAGGCAGACAGAGTAATTTTATGCATACAGAAAACAAATGAAACAAGATTATTTAAAGAATCAGTTGCAGGTTTAGGAACAAAACCTGGGTCTCTTAAGTCCTAAGGTGCAGTTTAGCACCAAAAGAGAGATAATTTGCTTTTTTATCAGATTTGAATGTTAAATTCATATTGATGGAGCAGCCAACACAGAATCTAGCTCCAGCTCTAGGCACTATCAGTTTCTCATTTTTATGTTCAAAGCTATAACTGCTGTGCAAGTTCTAATTATAATTGGGACTAAAGAAAATATTTAATAAGCAATATTTCTGGCAAATTACCTATTTAGAGAAGGTCGTTTAAATTACAGTCCTCTAGTAACATCATTTATCTCTTCATGAGGCCTAGACACTGTTGCAAAAAGGGTCTACACTACATATCTAGTACCTCTGGGCATTTTTTTTCCCAGATAGTATTAATCTCTGTTTTCCTCCATTGCCAGTTTCTTTCCAATATAGTTCAGTCTTATATAAGTTTTTGTTGTTTTTTCTTTTTGAGATTTCTACGTTTTCTCTGCAAGCTCTTTTTACACAAGAGCCTGAATAAAGTTCTGTCATAGCTCTGTCAAGATTTGAAGCAATGTGTCATTCACTGTGCCTTATGTTTTGTACAGCAGGGCTGTTTTGATGGCATACAGAAACACACAGTAACCCAAAGGTTAACGTACATTTTCTACAAATGAAACAATGCTTTACTTTGTGCTCCTTTACCAAGGATATACTGATTTAAGCAGTTTTATTTCAGCAGTCTGTCATTTCAATTTACATTTTTCAAATTACTGAAGTTTTATTGTTATTGTTATTATTATTGTTTATTGTATTATTATTGTTATTATTATACACTAAATGCTATTCTAATACAGTAAGATAAAGTGTCCTCTGCAAGAAATTTATGATGTAAAACAAAGACAAAGTCTGATGGGGGGGAAAAATAAAAAGCATTGCCCCAAGTCTCCATTTAGAAAGGAACTGAAGCACATGGGAATCTGTCACATACACCGCATTTAAAGTATATCCACAAGGTGTCCTCTCTGCTCTGAGGACTAAGTCACTTGCCAGACTTAAGGCAGGGGCAATGTTTGAACATCATTCCACTTCTTCTCAGTTCTAACATGTCTACAGCAAAAGGCCACCCTCATTTAGAACAAATGAACGACAGATTCCTCAAAGAAATAAAAACTGATCAAATCAGTTACTCTGAACTAAAGCTGCATTTCACGCTATTATTTAAAGCCAGACATTTGTATTCAGCTTTTAAAGGAATCTTATAGCCTATCTTCTAAAGCAATTTAACAGCTCTGAAGAGTTAAACCTGTAACTTTTACATAATGTTATCCAATTAAACCATATATGGATTTAAAAGCTCATTAATGGATGCGAGTTTCACCAGTATTTCTAGTGGTCAGTCATACAAGAGCAGCTATATAAACATTAAAACCCACGATCCTTGGGAATTAATTTTTGTATCTCTTACTGTTCCTTATACATACAGATACCACAGTGGTTGTGAAGTGCTAGTCCTTTGTTTTGATAGTATTATCCGCTCTACTCAGATTGTCCAGATACTAATGACTAAGCAAGCTACAGGGTTGGAGGGAGCTGGTCCCCACATCTTGCAGAGTTCAACCCAGAAGATGAAGACTTTGAAGCTATCAGCAAGCAAAACAGGAACTGAGAATTAGAATGAGTTTGGCAATCTTAAAAGTAGGCTTGATAAGATTATTGCCTAATACTTCTTAATCCTTAAGAAATTGGCCCCACCCTGGGTACAGCCCTACAAGCTTTATGTTCCACGGCTTTCACATGGAAACTGCTCAGTGTTTTTTCCATTTGAGTTTGTAAAGACCACACATTTGTATTGTTTAATGAAGTGAGGACCAGATTCAGAGCCTAGCATTTCTTAGCTATATAGATAAATCTGTCAGACTCTTCCGAAGCCTTTCTGCTGATACCTATCAAATGACACTGAAGCTAAAATCTGACAGAGACAAAGGGCTGCATGCTGTGCGAGGGAAGTCCTACAGCATACAGATGGTATTCACACAGAATTGCTGGTGGGTGCCCAAGAGACAGGTTGTAGGAGTATTTCTAATCCATGTAGCCTCTAAAGCTCTTGGATGAGATACTTCTCTCTGATTTGCTTAAGTGTTTACCTCTGTTTTAAATGAGGTGATAATTATTTGTGAGTGAATGCCTGTGCATTCATTTTCCTTTATAACTGAACAGAGATTGTTTACTTTTTAGTTTAATAGGAATGGTGAGATTGGGTACATGGTCATACTTTCACACTTGGACATGTTGTGTGGAAAACAGCAACCTGGAGACCAATCAAGAGGCTCTTGTGCACAGGTATTCTAAGCAGGACCACAGAAAGATGCTAGGGTGTTGGTTTTTTTTTGTTTTGTTTTTTTAATGTAACAAACTTCTATGAAGGGACCTTCTCCATGCAAAGTAAGTTTTAATAGTTGAAAGAATATGTGCTTATTTCTAGACCAAAAACCAAAAATCATGTTCCTACCTGCGTTATGTGTCTCCCGGTTTTTCTTTCTGTTAAGCATAAAGGGAAAACAGTGATATGAAACAGAGGGAAAAAATCTGCATGTAAACAAATTTCTCTTATTGTCTTATTTTAATTACAGTTAAAAATACTGAATATTGTATTCTGCTCTGAACAAGAACACAGCAGAAGTTACACTCAAAAGGATTGGCATTAGACATTGGTACTAAACAGTTTCTAACAAAAAATCATTAGTGTTCAGACTTAAATCAATTCCAGCAAAACAGCATAGTGTAATACTCAATTTGGTTATTGTTACATATTTACAGGACAGAGCAGAATTTTTATGGTTTTGTTCAGCAGGAACTATTACACTATCCAATGTTCAATAAAGCTAATTATTAGAAAAACACTAATTTTGAGCAACAGGAATGCTGTCTGTTTGAAATATTGCTTTTACAATCACAGAATCAATGAAACAGGAGAAAAAATTACCACACAAGTTGATTCTTTCAGACCTGTTACCTTCAAACATCATACCTTCTAGTATCAAACGTTTCCTTTGTGTGAGAAGCCTAAATTACCATTCTTCTGCAACTTTTCCTCTTTACTGCCTCAAAAATCTGTCTATGCTTTTGGGGTGTGAGGGTTGTCTTTATTTTCATATGTTCATCTGGGATTTCTGGACCAACAGCAACCAGCAAGATCACTGTGCAAAGCCTCAAATTGCTTTGCTTGAAGTCAGTAAATCCTAAACACGTACTCTCCATACAAAAATCAAATGTAGCTTATTCATGCAGTAAGGCAAATAGTTTCTACTAATCTACTAAAGCTAAGCACATGTCTTATGGAAAAGAAATGTTTTATTCAAAAAAATAAATCAAAAGTATTTCTGTCCAGCAGCGCCCTCTTAGTCTAGTTGCAAGAAGTGGAATAGCATTTTCTGCCCTCTACTCACTGTTAAAGCATAGTCCAGACAAAACAAGGAATCTGAAGTGAGAAGGCAAGATCTATGTGGATGACACATGTGATTATTATCAGCCACGTACCCTTTTGTGCTTTGAGTTGGCATTTATTTATGGTAACTCACTAAAAGCTGTGTGTAACTCAGACAACCTTTACAAGACAGTGCTGTTACTGCAGATGGCTGTATCTGGAGACATTTGCTAAGAAATCATGCCTAAAGATGAACATCTTAAAGTCAAATAAATGCCACTGAAGCCTGCACATCTGTTCTACAGCTATTCAAGAAGAGACGAATCTTCTGTTCATTGAAAATATGCACCACCAGAACTGAAATGCATGCAGGAGATCATTGTTTTCTTAATTTACAATAAAGTACAATTTTCCCACTTATATACAAAACAATCATCTGTCATTCTTATCATAAATAATATCCGACAAGGCCAGGTAGCATAGATGGATGGTGTAACTAGGGAATGAAGTGCTACCCTGCCACATCAAGTGTTAGATCAATCACCTACTACACAGGAATGAAGACTTGGAAAGGTTGTAATGAACTTTGAGTCCCTTTGTTACAAATTCTGGTTCTAGACTTGCTACTCAACCTGCGGGTGTGTTTTGATTTCCAGCAGAGATATGAGAAGATTTAAGATTTCGCTGAGATTTGAGATAGAGATAATAACTTGTCTATCAAAATGAGCACAGTGTTCCCCCAACATCTGCAAGGAGTCCCTGCAATAATACAGGCTGCAGTCTAACCTAGGTGGTGACGCAGTCTCACACATGCATCTGGGTAGTTTGTGTGATAAAGAAACTCCTTTGCCTTGGTGGCCAACGTAGACACACCTGACAACTCACCATAGACAGGGGAAGAGCAAGAGGCAGGTTTGTAGCCATAGTTCCCTGACTTTTGGATCAATCCTGGTCAACCCTCAGAGCTTCTCATTAATACCCTTATTACCCCTTAAAAACGTTTAGCTAGAAATTTTGTCATTGCAATGTGACCAAAAGCTACAGAACCACACAAATCATTTTTCCACAGAAACTCACCGATGTTGCTTCTTAGTAGGTGTCTCATTCTCTGTCATCTCTGGCATGGTTTCAGAGAAGAGAGCCTGAAGAAAATTGGGGAAGGAATTAATGATAACTGCACTCTACAGACTTCTTAGCACACATTCGTTACACCATTTTGCCTTTGACCACAAGGATAGGGCCACACTACACAGTACAAAGAAGTCTATCAGCTTGCTGTAGAGTGGCTAGTCATGTGAACACTAAAACTGAAGTACATTACCTATACGGGTGCTGTATGAACTGCTGCTGTCTATGAAGAACTGGCTTCCATTTCCTCAGTTAATTTAAACTAAAAAAACCCAGCAACTATAATCCCACTTAAAGAAAGCAAAAAGGAAAATTAGAATATATGATTGTTGGATTTTTTGTTTGCTTTTTTGAATGGGAGGAGGTACAGCTGATCTTTGTCTTTTTCATCAACACTTCCTAGCTGAATAGGCTTTCAATTCCCGGTGCTAAATGAAGTTTGAATGCTAAGCAAAATACAAACCACAATGAGGACATTAATTATTAGACTGTTTAATAGCACCCTAATGAGATGATCTCATAATGCAGAAAGTTACAACACTTGCTTGTTACTGAGTTAATGTGCAGTTTAGAACAGACCAAACCAATACCCTCTGTTCATGTTTTCAGATATATAAAATTTCAGTTAAAAATAAAGTTATGAAATGAAGTTGTATGTGATGACTGAGTACGTTGCACCTGTGCTCAGCCTGAGCACATAAGTAGCCTGTATTAAGACAAACAAAAACATGTCAAAAAGAAAACAGAAGATAAGGTTAAATGAGTGATGAACAATCCCATTTCTACTAGAGCAAGGAGCTTTATAGACCAAGTCACATGAAGTATACTGTAGATGATACCAGGGGATTTTTTTATTTTTGACAAGACAGAGGTCTGTATTTAGCTTCATGCTTCTGCTCATTCTCTCGCCAGCCAACCTGTTCTTGCAACTCTTCCCATGGGCCCTCAGACTCATGGTTGCTTCACCTCTCCCTGGCTCCTCCTGGAAAGCCCATCACTTTCTTTTACCAGGCTTTGTATCTTTAGGGCATTTTGTTTGTCTGCTTGCTTGTTTTTACTGTAAGGAAGCGCGGGTTGGTTTTAATACAACTTTCAACATCAAGCTGTTCTTCAGTAAACTAAGTCTACCATTACTGACACTGGCATTCAAAAGATGAGAAAAAAAAAAATCCCTATGGACTAGGAAGCCAGCCACCTATAGAGCTCCCAAAACACTGAAGCACACAATTTGGAAGGGAGTATGCATGTGCGTATGTGTAAAGTTCACAGAAATATTCCTCGTTGGGCCAGAGCAGAACTTGGGTGTCGCTCTCCAGTCTTGACACCCTTAAAAGTTGAACGTAGCACTCTCACTCAGTAAACCTTAACTGATGAACATTGCAGCTGATGCCATTTACCACACTGTCTCTTATTTAAGCACTGTATCTATTCCTAGGAAGACAAAGGAAAAGTTGGCGAATCACGAAATAAACAGGCAGTACTCTGCAGATTGATCCAGCTCAGGAAACACAAAGTACGTGAAGTTTTCAAGAACCTACGTCAGCCCTTCCACCCGACACAAGAGCACGCACACCAACACAAAGTTAGACGCAGTGCTGTGCAGGATGAGTTACAGCACTACACTACTCCACTGGGCACTATGTACAGCCTATCTGAGGCATAACTCACCTCACCCACAGGGAACACAGCACTACCTACTCCTATTTCTCGACAGGCTTTGCTTTCTCCATTCTCACCAGCCACGCTCTGCCTAAGGTGTGAGAAAAACTGAGAGTTAATGTAGTCTCTTATTGTGGGAGAAAGTAGTGGTGCGACTTCAGCACTTCATTCACTCTCTTATAGATTACCTTGTGATACTATCTTAAAAACAGTTTTCTTCTAAGTTAATTTAAGCTAAACCCATTTAATTTAATTCACTAACAATTGTGGTTTTGTTTATGTATAAAAAGACTAGTCCAGTTGGTATCTCAGGTCCTTCAAGTTACTGAAAATTCGGCCAGAAAACCCAGCTCCACACTCGAGACATTTATAACCTCTCCCCTGAGGTGATGGTCAGCAGTCCTTACACACATCCTAGCTGCAATCATTGTACCAGGCAGGTGGGGCCACACTGAATGATGAAGGGATTAGCTGGGAGAGTTTAGCAGATGTCCAATCCTGATTATAAAAGTAAAACTGGTCAGACCCCAGGCATCTTTTACACTGCTGGCCACCAGAGAGGTGCTCACATACACATTGCAGGATTGAGGTCTGCACGCCTCATTGCAGTGTTTGATGTTTCAGTTGTGTAAAAGCAGCACAGCAAAATCTATTCTCACTGAAGCCATCAGAAAAGGCATGAGAAGCAGACTCGTTGGCTGGCAATGCTACGCTCTTGTCTGCCCATCTTTAAGACAGCACCTCGTGTACCAGGTGAACTCACTAGGCAAGAGGGCACAGGGGGCATTCAATTTAGCATATGCTGTGCTGTTTCTATGCAGTGGGGTAAATATGTAGGCAACAGAGTGTGTGGACGTAGTTCTGGTACTGAAAAGCTCACAAACAAACACTGTATTTAGAAGATGGAAGACACTGATTGCATCCTGTGGTAGTCACGCACCTTGTTTCTTGACTTTTCTGCAGCTATCTGTAAGGGCAGAGCTGGCATCTGTTATTGGACATTACTAGACCATGTCAAGTACTCTAGAAATGAGAACAAAAAGATGAAATACATCTCCATTTTGGTGAATTTAACATTTTTAAAAGACTAAGTATTTACCAAATAGCTCTTTTTAATTTTTTTTTTGCAAACGTATACAATTTCAGAACCAAAGGAATATTTCCGAAGTGCAGTGTATTTAATGCAGAAAGCATTAATATGAATTTAGATGGCCAGTTACTGTGCGAGGCTACAGATAAAGCATAGATGTGTCAGAGCTAATGGGTATAAAAACAACCAACCCTCTCCCAAACCAGATCACATCCTATTCTCATCTTCTCTCCATGCTGTCACACTAAAGCTGCTTCTTCTGCCCAGGGTCTGCATTCCCTCAGCTAAATTCTTACTCCTAATACCAGGCTCCCCATTTCCTAAAGTCAAGATCTTTGTATTTTTCCACTGGCCTTATTCCTTCCTCCCTAGCAGATGCCTTAAATGATTCAGTGATACCCCATATTCCCATATTTGGGAAGAAAGGCAAAGTCTTACGGGAAGTTTGTGTTGAAATTTATTAATAAAGCTTGTAAACATTTTTAGATCCTGAGAAAATTGAGAGTTCTTATAACAAAGTGTCAAAGATGTCTTATCTCCCTGTTTTCATCCTCCTCTGCTCATTTTTTTATTTTATTTTATTTATTTTTAATGGGGGTCAACAACCTTCTTCTAAGCAGTGCCATTCCCTGCATATTTCAAGCCAGATGCCACCACATTGAGTGTATTAGCCTCACAAAATATCAAATATAAATACCTAGTAAGTTTGCATTTCATATGCTTCAGTTCTGCTGGGAGGCATAGCTCATTTCCTACAGCAGGAACAGGGCACAGGAGTGCCAGGAGTGTTATTCCAACTTCACTTTACTGTGGGATTACTTCAAGCCAGAAGCTTATTGAGATTCACCCAATTCAAACAATGTTTCCCCCAAAGTTTCAAAGCAGTTTTAGAGGAGTGATAAGAACAAACAAAGCTGTACGCATTAGCTAATTAACCCATTAGTTTATTTCATGTTCCAATTTGCTCCTTGAAAAGAAGTGGTTAGATGTATTAAACAGCACTTGTATACCACCCTGGGGCATCTATTTCAAGACTGTATGAAAAGAAAGATGGGGAACTGAAGATTTTTTCTTGTTCTTATCCTATAGTGAGAAAATCCTTTGTATTTTATTTGATAAACCCCCAAACAGGGCTGGCAGCAGTAGGGAGGTGGTATTCTAAAGAGTTGTTGAAAACACAGACTCTGAAAATTAAAAATTAAATTATTTCTGCTGAGGCAGAGACATTTGTGGGCTGCTGTATAATGTTTATCCTACCTCCTTTTCTTCCTAGCAGCTGTCACCACACCAGAGCTTGAACAATGGTTTCTCTTTACTTATTCCATGTCAAGTAATGCTTCCAGGAGAGATTCATTTTCTGATTCACCACAGTAGAAGACGAGTATTTGCTTTATAAACTCAGGGGCAAATATATTTTAAGTTCAGTCATGCAACACGCTCACTTGACTCAGCTGAATATCTTTTGCAGAAATAATGTACCAAATTATAAATTCTTTAGACAGATCAAGGAGATGCAATTGGCCATTCATGGCTATTTACTCCCAAGCTTTATGTAGTTTATAGCTTTTACAACGTCAGCTTGAAATACTGGTTTTAGTTTAAATGCAATGCCAACCCCAGAAATGAAAAGATACTTTGTCTTTTGGAGATTTAAGTTTAATGCACTTTAATCAGCGCTACAGTCTTGCAGTTCTTAGGAGTTTCGTACCTCAGGTCATGATTTACGGCCAAGATCAGTTCCAAGGCATGGGTAACTACTACACAAATGCTAATTCCTTTCCAGCAAGACAGTGTCCTCTTCATTCAAGTGACTATTTGTCCAGTCTTCCATGCATGTTTTACACCAGGCTAGCTTCAACCAGGGACTTAATTCAAGCTTTTAATCACAAGCAAGGTGCCCTTGAGATAAAAAGCCACAACTTACTGCCTTTTCTTTATTCTCCCCTCGAGACGCTTTGATGCTCATTTCGCATTCTCAATTGCAGAAAATTTAACTTGGAGCTTTATCTTTGTGATTGTTACCTACCTACCAACTGCTTTTGCTGCTAAAAGTAACCTTTTAAGACTACCGTACAGAAAACCAACAGGAAAAAACAGTCCTTTTCAAGAGGAAAAATACCTTTGGTATCTTTTAGTTTGGTTTCTGAAGAACTGAAGGTTTTATTGTTACTGCACTGTTACTGCACATGCTGATGACAGCGGGGCCCACTGACTGACCTAAAAGAAATCCAAGACATTAAATTAAATTGTTTACAAAAAAACTTG